ATAGTAAGAAAATTTTCAAGCTCAGAGCACACACATTCATTAGGCAAAACGTTTTCTCATTTAGGGTAGTATCTGCGTGAAATGACCCTCCTCCGGCGATTGTTCACGCCCCTTCTAGAATCCAGCTTTAAGCCCTATAAGACACTTATTTATGCGAACCATGGCGCTGGCGAGCATACTGCCCCGCGCTGAGAACATAAAGAGCGGTGTTACACCCTTTTTCGCTTGCCGCCTTTCAGGTGAACGACAGCCACTGACCGACAACAACAAAAGCGACCTGGGGACCTTGGGAAATAGCCTCGATCCTGTGTATCAATCCGTCAATCCATGAATGCGTGACGAATGATATAATCGTGTGTATAAATCCTTGAGTCTTGAATCCGGGAATCCGTGAATATTCCGCCAGAGACCATGGATCATGCTATGGGCAGTAATAAGAAACAATCACCGTTTCCTTCACTTTCAGAGTCTAGCTTCGTAACTGTGTTCAGTGGACCCAGTGAACTGAATATTGGACCTTCCACGGTGACCTTTAATGCGCGCATTTCGCCATGGCAACGGGGACTCCGTGGTTGGAAAAATTGAAATCGGCCAGGAAAACTGCATTAGTTCAAGATGGTTAGTAATTCCCATTACTTGTTTTGAGTACATCTAAAGAATGCCTTCCAGCAAGGCGTTTTTCTGTTTGTTTTTGGTGCTGGTAATGATCTTGGTTAACCCAGTAACAGCTTGGGAGGAAATGACGAAGGCCAAAGCAGCCGCGGAGATTATTCCGCATAAGTGAACGCGCGATTTGTTGGAACAGGTTCCACGCTGCATGCTTACCCCTAGGGTTGCAGACGCAGAATTGCTTCAGCTGGTATATGTATATGTATACATATCTCGGCTACAGCACCCAGAGAGTGGAATTTCCCTCCTCAGTAATATGCACTGTAATACCCAAACAACCCGAGACTTACTTATTTTTTGAGGAAAAACACCGCCTTCTGCAACGACAGTGTTAGCACAGCAACCCCCTTTGGGCTTCGGTGACCAAGTCCTCGTTCATTTCTTCTATTCACTGTAGCAGTGTGGCCGTTTGTGTACCTCTGCTCCAGTGTTTTATACTGGAGGTTTCATTATGGCGGAGTTTCATACCAGGTTGGTCGATGAATAGAGGTCTGATGAACACA